AATCACCAGCTATGATTGTAATACTTCTTCCAAGCTTACTTGCTCCCTTCCTGCTTTCACATGAAAGCCACTTACTTTTTCTATTAAAAAAAATGCATAGGTATTTAAAAATAGCATCACAAAACACCTAAACTCACCCAGATTTTAAAACCTATCTTGATCTGTCAAAATCCCACCTGTACACAATTTTTTTTCAGGCGGAAAGATGAGCTTCCCTGACTTCCTGGACGTGATGCACAAGCACAGCCAGGTGGAGAAAATACCAGAGGAGATCCTTGCCGCCTTCAAGGGGCATGACCCACGCAACACTGGCAGCATCCCAGCACGTGATCTGCGGCATATCCTCTTGCAGTGGGGTGAGCGGCTTAGTCACAAAGAAGGTAAGGAGAGAAAAAATAATAATAATAATGAAATAAGTAACTAAATAAATTGGATTCAAAAGGGAAAAAATGATGAAGATATGAATAAAAATATTGAATAATAAGGTATTCTGGTACCATTTTCAAAGAATATATAACTTGAACATTCTCTTCAACAGCAGAGCCCTTTCTTGATAAAGTTTTAAAATCTCTTGGCTTCTTTTTTTTTCCAGTTGAACAGATCTTCCGCGAAGCCAACATCTCCCCCAATGGTGTTGTACGCTACCATGACTTCTGCAGGATTGTGTGTGCTCCTGTGCCTGACTATTACTGAATGTCCTGAAGGGTTGTGTGTGCCCTTGTGTCTGTTACATGAATGCCTGCTTCTTTCTTAATATTTATGAAGAGGATGCATAACTGTTACAGTACATCAGAACAAGCTATAGATTTGTTATAGTAATATCACTATTAATGCAGTGCCTTGATTTGATATTTATTAAGGTTTGTGTTCAATATATAGATATATATATACATATGGATTTGCTGTACTAATGTTAGTATATTTTATTATGCTACATTGTGATAATATTGACAATGATTAATTGTTCACTTAGAAGAACAATAAATAATAAGTTAAAGTTTTGATGTTAAAAGAAATATATTTAGTATATATATAATTTTAATCTTTGTTAATTTAAGCACTTAATTTCAACCAAAGATTGTCACCTTGGGTCAAAATTTTAATAGTAATTAGAGCTATGAGCAAATGGGACTATTGATACATACAATAAATAAATAATTTATACATAAAGAAAACTGTATCTTATTAACCTTTCTTCAGATGTCACATTAAAAATAAATAGTTATGCTTTTAAAATGTATTACACAGCCTCGAGGAAGACGCAGCGTTGACTATGTACAGTGTGTATGCTACCAAATCACCCTCCAGTCAGAACTGTAGTGAATACCACTTGTGAATACCATCGACCATTCCTCTCTTGTTTGTGTAATTGTATCAGTGGGCCATTACTTTATATCATTTTAATAAAAAACATAATCAATTTATTTTTACATGCTTTTATGATAAAGTAAGATCATTAAAGTTATGTACAAAAAAAAGATAAATACTGAATACTGAAAAGGCTAGAGAAATCATTTAAATATAAACTATTTCAAAAGAAAACAAAAAGCTGAATGCTAAAAACTGAAAAGACTGGAGATTAAAAAAAAAAAAAAAAAAAAATTCAATATTATTAATGACAATCAAATCTTTCATGATCATAATAATAACTATAGCCAATGTCTTGGTCATTACCATAAAAAAAATCTTTACATGGTTACAATAATCACCATTACTAATAAAATTCACATAAAAGAAATGAATACAATTACATCACTCAAAACACAAACATCGCAATCCCCCTACACATCCATCAGCTACAGTCTTTCCATCAAACAACTACTGACAATATTAAGACGTGCAAAGATTGCAAGGCATTTTCCAGATTTGCAGCTGATGAAGGCCACTGTTGCACGTGCAATAAGACATTCCTTAAGTCCAACATCATTAGAGATCCTTCAGGTGTTCTCCATCATGAATTCGTTGGCAGTGCATTATATACTTCCTTGGAGAATATCTGGAATTGGGAGAAAAGGGAAAAATGTCAATTATGGGGCAAAGCCACTACTCGACAAGTAGGTTACATGGCTAGAATATAAACAAAAAGTGAAGACATGAAGATACATCCAAGTGGGGTTGTTTCATGCAGGGTAATGTTGTTTTGTACTGTTTAGTGACTTGTATCTCATGAGCTGTTTGTTATCTTATTCCTATGTATGTGAAAATATACATGTCAGGAGTAATAGAATTTAATGAATAGTATCCCATAAAAAGAAAAGAAAAGTACATGCAACTCCCATCTCATCAGCCAACAAACCAAAGCTAAAGTACTTACTGAACTAAGTACTCTGATATCCCTGTATTTGGTGAGATGGAATTCAGGACGTCGGGATCGCTTGGCAAATTACACCCCAGAGTTGTGTGAAAGTGGGTGTAGAGTTGCTTCAGAGCTGCTCCATGGCCCACTATAAGTATATTCTCCACTGGAGGGCAGTCTATAAGTGACTGAAAACGTTTTATT